AAATAAAATGAAATATTAAAATCATGATGTATCTCGCTGCATTGTGCGAGTACGCTTCTAGTAATAATAAAAATGTTTAAAAAGTTATCTTTAATGTTAACATATTTTTTATTTTAAAGATTTTAATATTAATTATATTATTAAAAAGTTATATTTAATTTTAACATATTCTATTTTAGCATTAAATAATATTATAAAAATATTTTTTAATTTATCTTTATAATACATTTTTTTAAATATTTTATGTAAAACAATAATTTAACAATTTATACTAATTAGTAAAAAATGAATAAAAAAATCAATTTCTCACTCCATACATTATGGATGATCGTATTCGAGTTCTAAATCAGGAAACCTGTTATCGGACTAATATGAAGATGATTAGATCACTGTCTCAAGTTCAAACTGATATCAGTGACGAAGGGACATAAGACAAAAGATCATTGTACAAAGTGATTTGTATGTTTTGCGGAAACTAACATTCATATGTAGTTTAGGGGTTGTGGTGTGTTGCTAGACGCTTACCGCAATCTATATAGTTCAATGGCCTTGTACCATGCACAAGTGAGAGTCTATTCGATTTATGTGCAAGGAACAAGACTTTTCGGTTATGAATCGGGTATAGAACCAATAGGCGACGCTTGGTTACAATTTAGAATATGCTATTATATGTTCGCTCTAGTTTTTGTTGTTATTGACGCTGAAACGGTTTTTCTTTATCCATGGGCAATGAGTTTCGATGTATTAGGTGTATCTGTATTTGTAAAAGCTTTAATTTTCGTGCGTATCTTAATTGTTGGTTTAGTTTATGCATGGCGAAAGGGGGCATTGGAATGGTCTTAAATCTCGAATATTCAGACAACAGAAAGGAAAAAAAACGAAGTGGTGATATCTCTATTTTCTATGATAAAGGATTCTTATTTTTAAAGAAATCTTTTTTTGTAAGCAGAAGTTATTTCAAACTGTTATGTTAATAAATCGAGTAATATGCAGGAAGTCGTCAACTATTTTATGGAATGCGAGAACTGAAGAAAAAAAAGGCATAACAAAAAGAAGTGGTAATGGAAGCATTTGTACCATATGTGCAAATCAAAATCGGGCAGATCTTTACCAGGAGTAGAGCATAAACCTAAAAAGATTAAAGAGGCCCATTTTAAGAACAAGAAAATGACATCGTGATTTGGATTGAATCTCGATGAAACAATCCATCAATGGGAACTTAATTGGATATGTTTAATGAATTCGTTTTATATTATACGTTATAAGAAAAGGAAGACAAACTCGTGCTTAGTGAAAAATCGAAGAAAATCCTTCAATTATAAATTAGAAGGAATTTGTTGTGAAAAAAGAAAAAAATATTGGAATCTACACATAATTTTTTTTTGAACTGTATGCGTCAAAAGGCGCCTGTACGGTTCTGAAGGGATACAATTTGACCCTAATCAACTGATTTTATCGAGTAAGATTACTTTTTTTAGGTCAAGAGGTTGCGAGCAAGGTCTGGAATCAACTCATTGGTCTTATGATATATCTCAGTATCGAGGATGATACCCTAGATCTGTATTTGTTTATGAACTCTCTTGGCGGATGGGTAATACCCGTGATGGATCTTTATGATATTATGCAATTTGTGTAACCTAACCAGATGTACATACAATATGAATGAGATCAACCGCTTCAACGGGATCTTATATCCTGGTCGGACGAGAAATTACCAAACGTCTAGCATTCCCTCACGCTTGGCGCCAATGAGGCTTTTATTTGAGAGAAAAAAAGAAGACTATGTCTTCGCCATATGAAATATGAATATTAAGTAATAATAACATGGCACTTTGAATTCGATATAAAAAATTTTGTTTTCAAAACATTGGATTATGTAGAGAGAGAGAGATGAGAAAAAGGTATTTCCGATTTTATTATCGAAAGTCGAGTTCAGCGTCACAAACTTTTTTTCACACCAGAGGTCTCTTAACAATATTTATAGAGCGAGAAAAACAAGATTCTTTTTTCCTTAGTTTATTTGATCAAATAAAAAAGCAACTTTGGGATTGCTGAATCACAGAC